ATATCCTCTTCACATTTGTTTCTCTTTCATGATGAGTTTCCACATATTATTGAAGATGCTAATAGATTTCTGAATAATTCTTTAAGTCCTTATAAATTACTATCAGAGGATTATGTGATCTTCTTAAAGTCTCTAAAATCATATTGCCATTACTGGGTGCTTAGTATAGTTTACTGGTTCTGCTTATTAACAGAGATGCTCTGAATTTTAAACAAGGCTCCTTCACAGACATAATTTATAAGCACATTGAAATGTACAATTTCCAACTTGATCTCATGAGACTAATGAGCATCAGGATTACCCTAGTGATATAGTGTACACTTTAATAGCACAGTAACAGTATAGTAAATACGGAAGTATAGTATTAACAAGATAGTATAGTGAGTTTTTAAGAGCTTGGATTTTATAACTAGAACTTGTATACCAGCTCTTCCATTTGCTAGCAATTTATACTTCGGCAAGTTACTTAAACTTTGAGGAGTCAATCTATTTATGTAATAAAGATACTTTCTTTATTGATAGAACCGAGTTATTGTACACAAAGTGCTTAGAATGAAACTTGCCATGTAAGAATTATTACAAAAATGTTGGTTAGTACTTTTATTCCTTTCCCCACCCTACCATTATTCATTGACTCTCTGGAACTCTAATCAGAGAAAGGATAAGAAAAAATAGTTTCACAAGTACAATATCTCTGACATCTATCCCAACAATAGCTTAATAATTATGGATACCAAACCCTTGGAGAAGTGACTTATCCCCAGGCTGTCTCAACCAACCCTCCTTCGCACTGTGTATGTCTAGTTCAGGTACATTTTGTGAGTTACTGGTTCCAGATAATTATTTAGAGATATAAATGTGATAGTGATGATAGTGTGAGGATAACACACCAGGGATTATTCAAAATACAATCTATAGGGCCTCCCTGGTGGTGCAGCAGTTGAGCGCTGGGCCGCGAAGATGCCTGCAGCCTCTGCAGCACCGGTTGATTCCTGGCCACCTGGTGAGGGTCCCTTATGGCGCACAGACCTCTCCTGTGGCTCGCTGCTCCCCTCAGCAGTGTACTTCTTCAGTCTGCCTGTTCTGCTCCCCACTCTGGCTCTGGTGAATTCTCTCATCCTCCTACTCTTCTGATTGTACCCAGTGCTTGTATAAAAAAAATAAATAAATCTTTAAAAAAATGCAATCTATACACTAAAGTAATGTTACTGATTTTTCCATATGTGTTTCCCCTTTTATTTTTCAAGTCAAAGAAGTGCCATTCACTTCTTATTCTCTTTCAGGAAATAGAAATGCTATGCCATGTTTTTGTCATAGTTTTGGTTATCTGATTGATTTTTTTGAGTTTTTGTAGATTTTTGCAATCCAGATTCATCACACTTGACATTAATAGAAATGTAATTGCCCCTCACACTTCCAGTTTTTCTGACCTAGTTGAATAAATATGTGACTGACTAAACCTTTCCAAAATGCCATTTTTCATCCAATTAATGTATAATATGTAACAAATGGTTATAAAATAAGCTTCTATAAGAAGGAAACCTTAACGTTTAGAATTAAGTAGGCAGTCCAAAATGGGTAGACAATTTTTGGGACCCATGAGATCTTTATTCAGAGACATAGCTTAATTCTACCTTTTTCTATAGTCTTCTAGTATGTTATTCTATGTACAGCTCAAGTTAGCCTGTTCCGCAGTTATGCTTCTATTCCAGGAATTAAGTAAAGGGAGAGCGCCTTTATATTAAGCAGTTATACCAGTAAGAGTTTTGCTAAAGAAACAACTAGAGGGAAAAACAATAGGTGATTTTATACATATATAATGTTATATATGTATAGTTATACATATTCTATATATTCTATATTTTATATGTAGTCTATTGTTTACTTCCTTCTCTATATGTACATTTTATATCTCATAAATTTATAATTTATAAAACTTATAATATAAATTTTATAACAAATTTATAATTAAAACATGCAAAATATATATTACATATTTTGACCTTTAAATTTATATATATTATAATGTATAAAATCTATTACAGTAGATATTTTATCTATATTCCTTGGGGTTATTGGGAAGACAGAAGTCAGAAATTTAGTAAGATAGGTGTATGTGTGTGTGTGTGTGTGTGTGTGCATGAGAGCATGTCATTTCAGACATCATACCTCATGATTTCCTGAGGAAAATTGTCACCCCCTCTAAAAGCAAAGTCCCTTGTCTCCCTTTTTAAAAGTTTTTTTTTTTTTTTTTTTAATAGAAGCATGTTTTATTTATTTATTTATTTGTTTGTTTGTTTGTTTGTTTTGTTTATACATGCACTGGGTACAGTCAGAAGAGCGGGAGGGTGAGAGAATTCACCAGAGCCAGAGCGAGGAGCAGAGCAGGCAGAAGGACTGAAGTACACTGCTGAGGGGAGCAGCGGGCGGCAGGAGAGGTCTGCGCGCCATGTGGGACCCTCCTCCAGTGGCCGGGGAGAAGCCGGGGATCAAACCGGCGCCACAGAGGTCGCGGGCAGCTTCGCAACCCAGCGCTCAACCGCTGCGCCACCGGGGAGGCCCTTGTCTCCCTTTTTAAATGTTGCTAAATCAAAAATCAAAGTGTCCACCCTCCCCTTCACTTACCATCCAAGTGTTCATTCATTCTCAAGGGAATGAAGGAGGACAAGCTAAAAGTAAGGAAATCCCATGTACGTATTTATTTCTCCTTCCATATAGCCCCCTGATCTTTTGCACATTTTTGCAGGGGTAGTTCTCCTAATAACCCTCCTTTCTAGTTAATAATATCCTCAGACTGGGGCCTCCCTGGTGGCGCAGCGGTTGAGCATGGGTTGGGAAGCTGGTTCGAAGCTCCCTGGCTGCTCCCCAGCCACCGGAGGAGGGTCCCACATGGCGCACAGACCTCTCCTGCCGTCCGCTGCTCCCCTCATCAGTGTGCTTTGGTCCCTCTGTCTGCTCTGCTCCCCGCTCTGGCTCTGGTGAATTCTCTCATCCTCCTGCACTTCTGACTGTACCCAGTGCTTGTATAAATAAATAAATCTTAAAAAAAAAATAATATCCTCAGACTGAAGCTTTGAAAAAACAAAACCACCTCTTGGCTTAACTATTAAGTCTCTCCATGACTGCAGATGCTAGCAGTCCCTGGTCAGATTCTTGTCTCAAAAACAAAACAAAACAAAACAAAACACAAATGTATGTATATATAGATTCAGATATGCATATATAAAAATAGTACAAGTATATATATAATTTATAATGTAAACTGTATTATATATCACATGTCTCATTTATACAAAAATTTGTTTATGCAACCCACAGAGCCACTCATCAGGAAGGGAATGTCTTGTGCAGGGTGGAATCCATGGGCAAGGACTAGTTACTCTCAGCATGATTTCTTCATTTCTTCTTCTCCTCTTTTTCACCTTCCATTTCCCCAACCCTTCTTCATTTTCTTCTCTCACTCCCCCTGTGTGCATGTGTGTGTCTCAAATACACACACATACACACATGCACACAATCAGTGCTGCTTTAAGCATTCCAACTGATTAAGGCAGACCCATGCAAATTATCAATTGATGAGGGACATTATTTAAATCTGAGACATCCCTTTACAGCAACACTTAGATTAGTGTTTGATTAAATAATTGAGAACTATAGCTTAGGCAAGTTGACATAACAAAAATTCCCATCATAGCAGGTTACTTGAAAATTATCCCTATTAATTCCACTCACTTTTTAATGTGAAAAATTAATTTCATAACCCATATTGTTGCAAAGGAGATTGAGAATAGTAGTCTATAACTGGACCATATCACAGCTAAAACTCTATTAGTGCCATTGCTCATTAAGTCTCTTAATTTCATTTAAAGCACTCTATAAATTGATGTTACTTTGTCTAAAAAAAATTACTTCTGCATATCTCTCCATTTGCTCTTTCAATTCCAATTATGCAGAAATTCTTATCCTTTCTTTATAACTTGTTTCTCCTCAGCTCCCATTCCTGACCATCATTCTTATACTTCTTTCCCTTTGTATCTTTTTTTCCTTAGCAGCAACAAAAATAGTTACTTTTTATAAGATTCATAATAAAAGCATTTTCGGGCCTCCCTGGTGGTGCAGCGGTTGAGCGCTGGTTTGCGAAGCTGCCCGCAGCCTCTGCAGTGCCGGTTCGATCCCCAGCCACCAGCGAGGGTCCCACATGGCACACTGACCTCTCCTGCTGCCCCTGCTCCCCTCAGCAGTGTACTTCATCACTCTGCCTGTTCTACTCCCTGCTCTGGCTCTGGTGAATTCTCTCACCTTCCTGTGCCTCTGACTGTACCCAGTGCTTGTATAAATAAATAAATAAATAAATCTTTAAAAAAAAAAAAAAAGCATTTGCTTGGCGCTTTTGAATTAATTCCACCCCAAACCCACCTTTCTCACAATTGCCATTCCTTCAGGATCAGATATATCATTTCTCTGTTATCATATTTGCATTTAAGTTTTTCTTAAAAATTTTCACTTTTTAAGTGACAAAAGTGACTTTTTCTCTCCATGTTCCCTTCCATTTCTCTTTAACCCTAGTAAAATAGATTTAGTAAAATATGATTCACTAGTTTAACAAAGTATTGAGTGTTGTTATAAAAAATATGAATGTTAGCAAGAGAAAACTGTCTTGTAGATTATTCATAGCAAAGCTAAGTATAGATTTAAAGCTTCTTCTTAGAATAAAAATTCACATAAATCCACGGAAATGATTTGTGAGAAAAGATGAGAAGTTTCAGTCAGAACATCAGGATTTGTTAGCATCTCTCTATGAGAGAACTGACAATTTGGGAGGAGGGTAAAAGATGAAACCATACTGAGAGCATGAAGGTAGAATTGGGGAGCAGGAAGAAAAAGAGAAGAGAATAAAGATCATGAATTTTAGGGTGTTTTTAGGAACCCATCTAAGTTTTATTCTGTTTGGATCAAAGAGAACACAATGGAAGTAGAATAAAAGGTTTTGCAATATTTACCTTATCAATGATCTGATTACCTGACTTAGGTAAATCTGACACTTGTTTCCTCCATGGACTCCTCTGAGCACCTTCAGAAGGTACAAAATATTAGAGGCATTTATAACATGTATCTTGCATTTTCTCCTGATTATTAGTGGACAGAAGGAGGGGTACCCTGAGACCCCCACATCTGCACATTATAAATGGGTTTCACCATCCATTGCATAAAGACAAATCATACTCAGTGTATAAAACTTTCAATAGAAAAGAACTTTGACACAATTAGTGTGTAATAGAGAGAAGAGAAAGAATATAGTTAAAATAGTTTCCCGTAAAGCATCCAAAGCTATCTGTCCCCTTGTGGATAAATGCCCAGCCAAAAAGGGCTACAGAACAGGGCCATGGAGGCCCAAAAGCCAGCCACCAGTCTAAGGTGTCTTCTGGTGAAAAACCATAACAAAGGGGCAGGAGGGGCCAGGCAAGTCTGGCAGGAAAGCAGCTAAATCAAAATACAAACCAAGATAAAGGCTGTCATTGTCAGCTTCCCCACAAGTCTAAACTTACCTACGTTTCTATCACTTTCAAGTGTCTCCTTCCCTGCTCCACAAGTCCCTGGTACCAGTTCAAGGCAGAGAAGCATATACACATGGCTTCTCTTTCACACATCTCTCCGCTCCATGTGCCTCCTTTGGTCGTCTCTCTTTCTTACTATTTTTTGTTTTCTTCTTCCTCTATTCTCAGTCCTCCCTACCTTCTCTAGCTTCTCCTCACTGCCCAGCTCCACCTTTCCTTGGGTGGGGCAGGGATTCTGGAACCTTCCCTTTCTATGGCTATCATATTGTTACATAATCACAAGGAGAAAAGAAGTAACTCTTTTCCACATGAAAACAAAGTATTGGAATGAACTAGGCCCTTTTGCCCTTTGCCATATCTTGACTAAGGTCTCCACAAAAATGCAAGAATTGCTAATTTCCTTAGGCAAAGTTCAAAGTCATGATGCAAACATAAAAAATACCGTGAAAGGAAATGACTATGAAATCATTGTCTTCTGTGTCCTAGGTAAGTAGTTTACTCATTAAAATGACCTAATCAAGTATTTTAAGTACTCTCTATCTTTCAGAATTCATACTCTGAGAGCTTTCTTCTACTCGCCTTCATAGTACGTACCCTCTTTTTAGGGTCTGATTTCTGGTTTCTCTTCCATAACTAAATGAATTTTAGTTTGGAGGAAGGTGATAAGGATGATTATAACTTATTTTTGTAGGTATCCATCCCACTTTTCTGAAATTTTACCAGAAGTTTTAATGTGATAAGAGGGCAATACTACCTGATGATGTGATATATGGATTGGTGTTTCCTGCACATACTTTATTTCATATATTTCATATTAGGATACATGTTTGAATATATATCAAAACTTTGGAGTAGAAGTTTAGAAAATTAGATTTGAAAAATAATTTCCCATTCCTAGTGCCTATTAGTAACATAAACAATATAGGATTTTCATATACTTTGCAAACTGTCAGAGATAATCCTCATCACGATCTTAATGTCTTCTTTCTGATAAAATTTTATGTAACTTATTGCCATTTCAGAGTACACATGTAAATGTTCTGAAAAACTGAAATTATATTTCTTTGTATCAGCATATGTCAGTTGTTTAATTTGATTGGTAGGGCAAGGCCCAGCCATTTCTATCAGCATATCCCCTACAAAGCTATGTCATATTACCACTGACCACTTGTGCATCTATTTATTCTTTTCTTTCTCCATTCCTGCATGTCTCCCTTTTTCTATAATCTCATTTTCTCCCTTCCCTGTGAATATTTATATCTTCATTTATGCCTTCATGTAACCGTGTAGAAAGCTGCTAAACTCTGTAATTGACTCTTAAGAATTAAACAGGTAGGCACCTAAATTTAGTACAAATGCTGACTGTACTCTGCAATTCTCAGCTAGATGATTTTGTATCTCATAAACAGCATCTCAAATATTCTACTATTTGTTTTTCTTTTTATTAAGGCAACTACTGGGTAATAAAGTGGCTATCTCCATCCTCTCAGCACACTTCAATGAGGCTACTTTAGCACCATGCGTGAGTTGGAAGCACTTCAAGAGACCCGGGATGTGGTGGAGCCCTGCCGGGGGATTATCAAACCATGTCCACTGAGAATGAAGAATTCGTCAGAAACACTGAATGGAGAAAATTAGGCATGAACTAAGAACCCAGAGGATTGTGTTACTTAAGGGCCATGAAATTACTTAGAAACTTAATTATGAAAAAGGATGAGATGATTCTAGGGTAGGAGGTCAAATTTGCCTTTTATAAGATGGAAGAAAATTCCTTTCACATGAAAAGAAATTCACTTGGCATCTCCATTAAGTATCTTATTATATATTTACTAATTAAGAGCCTGTTCTAACCTTTAAATGATGAATTACCAGTAAATATCTCCATGATACTCACATACCTAGTATAATTTCTTTTAGCGCAAAAGGCAGCCAGCATAGTACTATTTATTAAGAAGAGAAATTGAGCTCTTCATAAAGTCCTAGGAATGTGTTCCTCTGGCATATTCTAGACACAGATCCTTGAAAACACTCTATTAATAATGTGCTGAGATGGATCTGTGCCCTGCCCACTAATCACAGGATGAAAACATACATTCTTTTAGTTTTTTCATTTTTAATGTTTAATCTCTAAACGTAAATTTTCCCCTACAGAGAACATCAAAAGACAAATTCCCTTAGTGACATTTTACAATTAATTTTAATATCAGTGAACTAAGCACATAAATTCTTCTAGTCCTAGCATATGCAAATGTGTTTCTGCATATCTTTGAAGTAGCTGTTATTAAATGCAGATACCATCTCTGCTTGGGGCTGAGCATTAACATAGTTTTTACAAAATAACAAAAGATGCTGTATTTTATTTTCTAGATGGTTTGTTTAATACAATAAATTTCCTTAGATAGAAAGTATAAAAATGCTGTAACTCAAATTCCATAATTTATACTCATGGAATGTGTCTATGTATGATTAAAGAATTTAAAATAATTAAAGTCAATATCTTCAATGCAGAGAAGAAAGCCTAGATAAAATGCATCCAAAATAAAAAAAAAAAGTTCTACTTAGAAAAATTGAATTAGATGTTATAAAATGAATTATCTAAAGTAATAAAATGTTTACAATAGTTTATGCATCTGTGTCCATATTCTGGTAATATCCCCCTTTCTTAATGAAGATTCACCAAAGAAATAGAAACAACAGGATGGAGACTAGACATAGATATAGATGATACAGACATAGATATGGATTAATTGAGAGAATAAAGAACAGAGACACACATTCATAAAGGTGAGTCTAGGTAAAAAACTGAGACTGCCTAAATGCACATCCTCTGAGTAAGAAGAAATAAATATTATTCCCAAAGGAGAAAGCAAGTAAACTTTCCTGCTTTGGTATTATCTCTTAAATGGGTGGGAAATCATTAGAACTGAGCTTATGTTTCCATTAACCAATATTTATGGTTCAAAAAATTCCGAACAGAGAATTTAGTCTAAAATGATTATCCAATAGTAGTAATTCTAGATGCTTAAAAGAAATATAGGCAAATTCTTCCAGAAGGAACATATGTTTTGGTTCATGACACCTAAGAAATACCACCAAGAACAGATTAAATGAGCAAGAGATTTATTTGAGAAAACACCTGTGAAATATAAAAGGCTTGGAAGAAGAGGTGGTTAGATTTCATTTTTTGATGCAGACCTAGCACCTGTGAAAAAAGAAAGTGAGAAGGAAAGATTTGAGTTGAAAGACAACAGAGTAATCAAATAGTTGGTTTTCAGTTGGTGTTCTTGATAAATAGTGCCATTTTGGAGGCTTAGCACTGGTCTCTGTTGCTGGCAGTTTGAATTTTGTGAGATAGCAGTAGTTTCTAAATGGCATATGGGCTGTTATATAGATAAGGAGAAATAAACAGAGAAGTCAGGAATAAATTCACATATATAAGCAAATGATAAACACCAAGGTGGTATTTATGAGCAATAGTGAAGAAAGGAATTCAAAGAAGTACTTTAGCACTTTCCTAATATAACACTTTTTATTTCCTAATAAAATAAATTTTAAAAAAGGAAAATTGTAACTTCTCTTACAAATGCTTAAGTTTGAGATGAATTTTGAAATAAAATGTGAAATGCACATATGTAAAATTCTTCAAATCAATGTAGGACATATGTTCATGATTCTGAGGTGTTTTGTTCTGTTGTTTTGTTCTGTTGTATAAATAAGATAGGTTATCTATGATGGAAAATTCACAAAAAAATATAATATTCTGTTACCTTAAAGGATATAAAGAAAATAAAAGGCCACATCCCCAACAAGGAGGCAATATTGCAGCAAGTACAACAGAAAAGATCTAATGAAGTATTTAAAAATATGTAAGTTATTAACAGTACAGGAACCAAAATCTCATTTTTTTTATCTTATTCACAGAAATATACCTCATGGAGATATTTTACACAGAAAAATGTTAGCAAGGAAATTTAGAATGTGGACTGGTGTAAGGATTATGGAAAGCAATCTGGATTTACATTAAAAAATGGAAATACTGTACAACCTGGCCATCCCACACTCAGGCATACATCCACAGAATTTGAAACCATCATCAATAACAACAAAAAGAAAACAAACATATTTTCTGCAGTGTTCATAGCAGCATTATTTATAAAAGGTAGGTAACATGGAAACAACCTAAATGTTCATTGATGCACTATTGGATCAAGAAAATGTGGTATATGCACACCATGATGTATCACATAGCCATAAAGAAAGATCAAATGCAGCCATTTTCAACAAGATGGACAAAATTTGAGTAATGATGTGCAGCAAAGTAAGTCAAAATGGTAAAAAAAAAAAATACTGGGATTTATATAGCACACAATTTGATAACATAAAGCACTTTTGAAAACTAGTGGACATTAATGAAATATCTGAGGACTCTGATTTTAAGAAGGAAGGGGAAGAGATAAGGATCAGGTGACACAACAGATGGTGGTTGGGGAAATAAATAAAATGTCTAGTTAAACAATAAATAAATAAAGTAATTCAATTTTATAAATGGCAGGAGATGTTGGAAGCAACTAAGTTAGTGTTGTTTAAGAGAAAAAGGATCAGTATTGCCCAGTGTACTCACGTGACAGTAATAATAATAATATTAATACCCAAAATAGAATTTTTCACATTTTACATAGGCATTTTGAGTTCTTATTTTTAGTCAAATATTAGCCCATGGGCTTCTTTTGGGCTTAGTCTTTGTATTATCAAGCCAGATTGATAAAAATAAATTATTTTGTACTACCCATGGTCATAAAAGTAATAAATACATCAAATTATTTTCTCTAATGTTAAAAATATTAAATATGAAAGTCCCTGAAAGAAACATATGGATTCAAAAATGTCCCTTTCTTTTTTTTAACTTTTTTTTTTGTGCATATAAGAACTGGTGTGGGGGGTGAGATGATTTTCCAGAGACAGAGTGAGGAACAGAGCAGGTGAATCTACTGAAATACTCTGCGGAAGGGAGCATTGGTGAGTCAGGAAAGGCCTGCTGTGTCATATGGTTTAGCTCCATGGGTGGGGATAGAACTCAGGCCTTAGTGGTGGTAATAGCACTGAGATTTAACCTCTAGGCCACCAGGGAGGCCTCAAATGTCCCTTTCTTACCTGCTATTTTCAGCATAATTATTCTTATCTAGGGTGAAATAATGGATGAAAACTCTAAAGTGC